GCACTACATCTATGGTGATTACGACACGGGAAAGATCTGGAGCTTCCGCTACCTGGATGGTGAGGTGACAGACCATCAGCAGCTGGCGGACACTCAGCTGCGCATTGTGGCCTTTGGTGAAGACAGTCAGGGACACGTGCTGATTGTGGATTTCGTCAGCGGTACCATCAATCGACTGGTGAAGGCTCCTCCACCCAGCGGCAATGAGCCCGAGTTTCCTCGAAAGCTCAGCGAGACCGGACTGTTTGCATCAACAAAAGATCACGTGCCAGCGCCAGGCGTGCTGCCGTATTCTGTCAACGCTCCCTTGTGGTCCGACGGCGCTGTGAAGGATCGGTTTCTGGCTGTGCCCGGCGACGGGCAGATTGAATTTGACGCCGTCACCTATCCCATGCCGGCTCCTGGCTGGCGATTCCCGGATGGGACCGTGGCCGTCAAAACGTTTTCGATGCAGATGGATGTGACTGATCCGTCCAGTGTGCGACGCCTGGAAACTCGCATTCTGCACCTGCGACAAATGCCAGGTGATGACAACGAATACGGCGCTCAGTTCTGGAACGGCTATACGTACGTCTGGAATGAAGAACAGACCGATGCGGTGCTGCTGGATGCCGATGGCCTGGACCGTGAGTTGGTGATTCGTGACCCGGACGCTCCGGACGGCGTGCGTCGGCAGGTCTGGCGTTTTCCCAGCCAGGCAGAATGCACGCTGTGTCACACCATGTCAGCCAAATATGTGCTGGGAATCAACACGCTGCAGATGAATCGTGACCATGACTATCACGGTCATTCCGTGAATCAGCTGGAGATGCTGGAGCGACTGGGAATGTTCACGGAGCCCCTGCCGGACAAACCAGATCAGCTCCCGCGTCTTGCCCACTATGAGGACAATTCGCAGGACATCGAACAGCGGGCGCGATCGTATCTGCATGCGAATTGTTCTCACTGTCATCGAATCTGGGGTGGAGGCAATGCGAACTTCCAGATTCAGGCCGACATTGCTCTGGAGCAGACGCAGACGGTGAATGCCGCACCCACTCGCGGACACTATGATCTTCAGGATCCGGCGCTGATCATCCCGGGCCATCCGGAACGGTCGTTATTGTGGCATCGGATGACTCTGCCGGGTCTGGGCCGCATGCCACACGTTGGGTCGCGAGTGGTGGATGATCAGGGAGTCGCTTTGGTGCGGGAATGGATCTCACAGCTGAAGGAACCGGAATCACCATGAGTACGGAGGCGCCTGGACAGCGATCATCGGCTGAGATCGCGGGATGGCTGACTGACCAGCTGGCCACGATCCTCGACATCGATGCCGCAGGCATCAATCCGGATGCCCCCGTGACGGTTCTGGGGATCGATTCGATGCAGTACATCGGGATGATTGGAGATCTGGAAGACTGGCTGGGATGTCGGTTTGAAGACAATCCACTCATCGACTATCCCACTGTCAATGGCCTGGCGAAGTTTGTGGCGGAGCAGCTGCAGCGCGGCAGGACGGTGATTGTCACTGATTCGGAAGACTAGACTGGGTGCCGATTCACCTCAGGATCGCTTCTATGCAGACAGCAACACTCAGCGAGCAGCTGGAAGATCAGGGATACGCGGTGGTGCGTTCGGTTCTGGATGTTGACCAGGATCTGCAGCCGGTTGAAGACGAGTACGCAGAGATCCTGGACGGACTGGCACGCCGCTGGTTCGACGCCGGTCTGGTGACGTCGCTGCACACCGACCTGCCGTTCTGCGAGCGCCTCAGTCGGCTGCTGGAAGAAACCGATGTGCGCTTTGATCGCTACTTTGATATCTCGCTGCCGCAAAGTGATGTGACAGAACAGACGCCGATTCACAACGGACCGGCCATCTTTTCACTGTTGCGCAGTCCGCGCGTGCTGGATGTGGTGGAGCAGATTATCGGGCCGGAGATTTACAACAACCCGGTGCAGCATACGAGGATCAAGCTTCCGGCCCACTGTCTGGGTCCCGCTTCCACGTCGGATCTCACCGGCGACGTGGGCTGGCACCAGGATCTGGCGGTGGTGACCGAAGATGCTGATTCCACCGAGCTGCTGACCGTGTGGATTCCGATGACTCGTGCGACGATCGAAATGGGATGTCTGGCCGTGGTGCCGGGCAGCCATCGCGAACTGAAGCATCACTGCCGCAGCAGTCATCCCAAAACTCTGAATCAGCTCAGTATTCCTGACGCGCTGGTGGGTGCGAATGAAATGCCTTTGCCCATGGAGCCGGGCGACCTGCTGCTGATGGACCGACGCATGCAGCATCGCGGGCTGCCTAATACCAGTGATCAGGTGCGCTGGAGTTTTGATCTGAGATATCAGCCGACCGGCCAGCCGACGGGACGACGCTGGTTCCCCGGCTTTGTGGCTCGCAGTCGATCCAACCCGGCATCCGAGCTGACTCGTTCTGAGCAGTGGGCAGACGACTGGCTGCGGACGCGGGAGTATCTGGCACGCGGAGAAGACATTGCCTTCAATCGCTGGGTCGCCGGCGATCCGGCCTGTGCGTGATACTCATTCGATACCGGTCATTGTCAGCCGATACTGGGGGCTCGTCCACCTGCGCCGAACTCGACCCCAGCCACCCATCCCTCGGTTCTGAATTGGCCTCTATTCAAAGACCAGGCGAATGAAGCGTGGCCGATAGATGTGGCCGTTTTTCCGGATGTCGTTCCAGAAGTCCAGAGTAATCGTGTTGTAGCTGATCAGCAGTTCGCCTGGTTTCGACAGCGCCGGATGGGCCTTGGCGTTGTATGGCAGCAGCCCTTCATCGATTTCAGGTGTCCTCCAGATTTCATGGATCTCGCTGAACGGGCCAACCGGGCTGCTGCCGATCCGCACGCCGACTTTGTCGGAGATGCCCATCACCTGAAAGACCAGCAGAAATCGGCCATCGGGCAGAGGTGTGACGCTGAGTTCGTTGGAGACAGCATCGCACAGTTGGGCGATGTTGTTTTTGTCGGGATCCCACTCGCTGCCATTCCAGAACCGCCAGGCAGTGAAGTCTTCGAACTTCGCTGGTTCCACTCTCGCAACCGCCAGTGACTTGCGCGGTCCGATGCAGGCATAGACATAAATAAATCCGTCCGGATGCTGCGCCTGTGCCCAGTCGGTGTTGACCAGAATGCCGGCTCCGAAATCACCGCTGCCCAGCTCATCATGTTCCACATGCAGCGGAGTCACGATCTGACGGTGATCGTCGAACGGCGGACGGCTGCCGGCCGGCAAAGCGATCAGGGAAACATCGCGCACGGCGAAGTCGTAGACATCCGGTCCCGTCTTTTCGACGTGGTAAGCGAACAGGTACGTCTGATTCTGCAGAGCACGATTGACGAATCCGTCGCCCATCCAGAAATACTGCCCGGGGCGCGACGCGGCATTGTTTGGCACAAAGAATGTTTCCGGTTTTCCATCCTTGCCGCGGCGGTAGTCGAACCGCATGTCTTCGGCCCGGGGATCCACACCGCGGAACATGGCAATACAGTTGTTGACCATGGTGTTGCCGGGAAGAGGTGCATCGTCGTCACCGACGCGACCGACAAAACTGTCGCCAAAGATCAGGAGTGTTTCTTCGTTTCCGTCATTGGGGTCTGCGCCGTCCAGCGGAATGGAAAAGATTCCGTCGACTCCAAACACACCGGACTTGCGGTAGAAGAGCTTTGTCCATTCCGGAGCCGCTTCGACCCGATAAGCGGGCATCTCCAGAGATGCATCTGTCGTCGTGTCGCGCTGAGTGTTGCTGTTGGAGGAAGGGGGCTGGCTGTGCGCAGTCGGCAGGCCTGCCACACACAGCGGGAGGAGCAGTGCGGTGGCGATGGCTGTCTGGATTCTAATCATGAGTACTGTCTGTACGTTGCACTGTCTGTTCACGGCAGCGGCAGGGTGAGAGTTTTGATCAGGCAGGGGAGTCGAGGCTGGATGAAGACGGGTGACAAATCCGCGGCGCGACGTCCTGGATGTCGTGCTGTCAACGGGTGGATCCGTCTGCCATACGTTACTGATCAGGCCATCAGTGGATCAACAACGTTTCCGTGGACATCTGTGAGTCGGAACTCACGACCCTGATAGCGGAATGTCAGACGCTTGTGGTCGATTCCCAGAAGGTGCAGGACAGTCGCATGGAAGTCGTGCACATGGACGGGGTCGCGGACAATGTTGTAGCCGAAGTCGTCGGATTCGCCCCACGTCGTTCCGCCACGGACTCCGGCGCCGGCCATCAGCATGGAAAAACAGCGAGGATGATGGTCACGGCCGAAGTTACCGGCCTGATAGTCGCCCTGGGCGTAGACCGTGCGTCCGAATTCTCCGCCCCAGATGACCAGCGTGTCATCCAGCAGCCCGCGCTGGCGCAGATCCTGAATCAGGGCGGCGGAGGGCTGGTCGGTATCCTGGCACTGGCGGCGCAGTTCGGGGATCAGAGCCGTGTGCTGATCCCAGCCCATGTGAAACAGCTGGACGAAGCGCACGTCTCGTTCGATCAACCGGCGAGCCAGCAGGCAGTTGAACGCATAGGTGCCCTTGATGCGTGATTCCGGCCCGTACAGGTCAAAGACCCATTGCGGTTCGTCGGAAAAATCGAGCAGCGTGGGGACGGCCGCCTGCATGCGAAAGGCGAGTTCATACTGTTCGATGCGTGTGGCTGTTTCCGGATCCTGATAGCGGTCCAGAGTCTGTTGATTCATGGCGGCCAGCGCATCCAGCAGAGAACGTCGCTGGTCGCGGGAGACGCCATCCGGATTTGACAGATACAGGATGGGATCGCCGGAGGAGCGGAAGCGGACTCCCTGATGGGCAGACGGCAGAAAGCCGGCTCCCCACAGCCGATTGAACAGAGGCTGCGGCATCTGGCGTCCACTGCCTCGGGACGGCATGACCACATAAGCCGGTAGATTCTGATTCTCCGTTCCCAGACCATACGACAGCCACGCTCCCATGCTGGGCCGGCCGGCGATCTGTGAGCCGGTCTGGAAGAAGGTGACGGCCGGATCGTGATTGATGGCTTCTGTGTGCAGTGACTTCACCACGCACAGTTCATCGGCCACCCGCTGCAGATGGGGCAGGCTGTTGGACAGCATCGTGCCACAGCTGCCGGAGGGAGAAAATCCGGCCACGCCTTTGGTGACTCGATATTTCTTCAGGGCGGCCGTCATCCCCGTCAGCCGCTGGCCTCCGCGGACCGAATCCGGCAGGTCGACTCCATCCAGTTCGTCCAGAGTGGGTTTGTAGTCGAACAGGTCAATCTGGGACGGAGCACCGGACTGAAACAAAAAAATGGCTCGTCTGGCACGGGCTTCGTGATGCAGGCCGGATGGCGTTCGTGTCTGCGGATTGCCGATGAGAGCATCCTGCTGCAGCAGGCTGAACAGCGCAGCGATGCCCGGTCCGGTCGCACTGCGTCCGAAGAAATGTCGCCGTGTGTGCAGGAGCTGGTGTTGTGTCAGAGGATCCAATGGCATCGCGTGTTCTGGTGGTCCCGAGCGAGTTTGCTGTTGAATGGTGATGGTTGTTGGCTTTGACACCGTGTCAGTTGCGGGTAATGGCTTCGTCTCTGTTCAGCAGCAGCAGTCCCATTTGAGTCCACGCGGCCAGGATTGTTGGTTTGTGGCTGCCCGGAATTCCTGATTCGCCGACTGTCAGCAGCTTTTGAGCCTGTTCCGAATGACGCAGATAGTATTCCGTCTGCTGCTGCAGGCCGGACGTCAGGATCTGCAGTTCTTCTTCAGTACCGGGTCTCCCATTGGTGAGCAGCAGGCCGTGGTTCAGTCGATCGATGGTTGACTCACCGCCCTCGTGGAGCATTCGATGAGCCAGATGGCGGGCGGCTTCCACGTAGGTCACATCATTCAGCAGATTCATCGCCTGCAGTGGTGTGTTACTGTTCTGCCGGCGGACGACGCATACTTCTCTCGTTTCTGCATCGAAGACGGTCATGCCGGGAGGTGGCACGGAACGTTTCCAGAATGTGTACAGTGAGCGACGGTACAGGTCGGCGCCGTGGCCCTGTTCGTAGTCCACGGTCAGAAACCATTCGGGCTGCAGTTTCAGGCTGGTGATTTCCCGCCACAGGCCTGGAGGCTGATATGGAAAAACAGAAGGGCCTCCCCGCTGCTCTACCAGCAGGCCGCTGGCATACAGCGCGTGATCCCGGATTTCCTGAGGCCGAAGACGGAACCGCGGAGCCCGCGACAGCAGGTGATTCTGAGGATCCTTCGTCTGTTGCAGAGCAGTCGCCGCAGCTGACTGCCGGTAAACGGCCGATTGCATGATCAGGCGGTGGATGTGTTGCATGTCCCAGCCGCTCTGAATCAGCTCCGTGGCCAGCCAGTCCAGCAGATCCGGGTGAGTCGGGTAGGCGCCCTGAACTCCGAAGTCTTCTTCCGTGCGGACCAGACCGCGTCCGAAGTGGTTCTGCCAGATGCGATTCACGGCGACGCGGGCGGTGAGCGGGTGCTGGTTGGATGTCAGCCACTGGGCCAGACCCAGACGATTGCGCGGAGCGTTGTCGGTCAGGGGAGGAAACACGGCTGGAACATCACGCTGCACAAGCTCGCCGGGGCTCGCATAGTGGCCTCGTTCCAGGATGTGAGCCGGCCGGACGTCCGCGCGTTCCTTCATCACCATCACTTTTGCAATCTGACGGTCGATTTCTTTCACCTGAGCCTGGGCCGCCTCGATTTGTGTCTGGTGAAAGTGTGCGAGCAGTTCATTCTGTTGCTCAGGGGTGCGTTCGACTGCGGGCCGCCGCAGCAGGTGAAAGATGCCGGCCGGGTAGGCAGTGTGGCTGCGCGAGCGAAACGTAATCTGCTGCACGAAGTCGCCGTTCGACATCTTCACCAGCAGCTCATTGCTGCCGGCGTTCAGAGTGACGGGGAATGGTGCCGCAGTCGCCACGTTATCGCCTTCGTCCAGACGGTCGAAGATCATCTCACCGTTCAGCCACAGGGTGACGGAGTCGCTGGCACCGATATCCAGGACATACTCCCCGTCAGCGGGCGCATGGATGCGACGATACAGGTAGATCGTGGAGAACTCGCCACCAGGTACCATCACGGTGCCGGACTTCCAGTTCGGTCGAACTGTCCATGTCTGCTGCTGGACGGTTTGCTGCAGATCGACATGAGGTTCCTCGAAGTACGGGAAGCGAAAACCGGTCACGCGAGTGGGCTGTTCATGATCGAACGGGCCCAGGGAGTACCAGGGTTCCAGGCCGATGGATTCGGCGGCGTCGAATGCAGCCATCCAGCGGTCCGCGTCCGCCAGTTGTTCCTGCGGTGGAGTTGTCTGCTCCTGCAGTGTCCTTAGTTCCTGCCTTCGCTGACGACGCTGCTGTTTTTGCTCGCGAGTGGGCCATTCGATAAACGGGCGCGCGAAACCGAATCGAGACTGGTGGTCGACACCGA